GGTGGTTACAACCACCATGGACGAAAATTATTGTGAAAGGATGCATCTCTTAGGAAAATACATCGAATCAAGACACATTTTGAAGAGATACCAAGACACCTTTTGAAGAATTATAAAAGAAGGAAGATTGAGACTTTGAAAGGGTTCTTGAAAGTACTGGGCAAGTTTTGAAATTTCTAAAATTTGGGAGTTAGTTGGAGAGATTTTCATGCACCACATATTTATTCTTTTTTATTTTAGTTTTATATTGAGAGTGTTGTAAAAGAGAATAGATTCAAAGGAACTTCAAGAGTAATTGAGATTTATTGTTGGTTTGACAATGATTTCTACATTTAAACTAAAGTGTGGTTTTATTTTCTCCATGGATTCAGAGTAGTTTTCTTTATCTTTCTTCTTAAAATGAGAAGTAATTAAGTGTTGGATGGAAGTTGTGGAGAATAATTATCTTTAATGTTGGAAGAAGTTGTGATGATTAAAATCCATGTACTTCATATACTTATTGATTTAGCCAATCCAGATGTTAAAATTTGTTGTGAGAACATGTAAGAATTGGGCTGGTATTGTCTCAGTCAACAATTGGAAAGAGTCACATGAGGTTGTATGAATAAGAATGTAGTTCATATAATTGAGTGCAAATAAATAGAGAAATATTCATTGAAGGGTGTAGAGTTAGAGGACTTTAAAGTGACAGGTTAAAGCCCTCAACTTGGTTTCTTATTTTAGGTTTTGATACGAAATGCTAGCCCACAGGTGGAGGGAATCGAGTGAACTCTAGAGTGAGAGCTAGTATCTTCCCTGCCTAGCCGGTCTTCAGAACTATTCAAACTTTAAATTAGTCAATGTTCTTTATAACATCTCTAGTAAGGGTAAAAAATATTATTGCTCATATTTGACACAACACAATATGCATACTTCCACAACAGAATTCTATACTTATTACTGATTCGTGATAAAGAGAAAGATATTTTCATATTTAGTGTTTTTCTTCTACAAAAACTCAAGTTATCTTTTTATGTTTGTTCTGTTTTTGTCAAAATATTAAAATTACCAAAAATATTTAAACTTTTTTTACTTCGAAAACGTATTTAGTTTAAGTAATTGTCTTTTTAAAAATAGAAAGTTTTCCAAAAAGTGCATATTGTATTCTTCCCTGTGGGTTTGATATTCAGGTCTTAATCAAAAAGTCCTATATTACTTGATAACGATGCGTATACTTGCGTAGTATCTTAATATGTAAATTAAAAGTTAAATTCTTAATTTTCTTCATGGTCAAATTTTTTGTGTTGTTGCGAAATAAGGAAATATAAGTGAAAAATATAATCAGAAAAAATATATAATCAGAATTATTGTTATATTGTTGCACATAAGCAGTTTCGGGATTAGTAATCATAAAAATAAATTTTGTCACTTTCGAAATATTATTATTGCAAATGACATCACATATTGTTATAGCTAATCGCTTAGTAGACATCGAGTTTTTTCTTTTGCTAGTGATATGCCTAACTTTATTCAACTTTGAAGTGTTGCCACTTGTTACAGTTATTATCACATCTATTATCTCCACAATATTCAAGAGCTCATTATCAACAAAAAATATTTTGCTATACTTGTTAATGTAGTAGTTTGTTCCTAGTTCTTTATTAGAGGAAGAATTGAAAGGAATGCCTAAGTTAATGTCCATTATCTCCAATAGATTTTTTGTACCGAGTATCAATGCATCTTGAGTCTTCCATGTCATCATTAATCATCTTTTCTTTTGCCTTTTGACCGTATTCATGTCTCTTTCTTTCATTATGCGGCCATGTTTGTCAGAATACAAGTATCCACTTGATCGCGAGACTTTTTTCTATTGTTATTTGATTGAAGGTTCTTGATGTGAGATTTTGACTTGCCTTTCTATTTATTGTTTTCAATATTTTTGAGACGTACTTTATGGCCATTTTTTTAAAAGCAGAATTGACATACTGTAACTTTTTTTTTCTTTTGATATGCTCAGTATGGATACGATCTCTAACATCATTTAGCTTCATTGTAGACGAACCATAGGAACTGATGATTGTTACAATTTCATCTTAGCTCCCAATAATATGAGGAAGCTCAAGGTTTGGATCTCATCATTGAATTTGATGTTCATTGAGTTCTACTCCTCATGATTGAGTTGAACTAATTGATGTCATTGATAATTTAAGCTCTTTCTGATATCTTGAGATAAGAAAATCTTATACATGGCATAAACCTTGCTGACTGTAGAGTTCTTTTCATACATATTAAATAGTGCCTCATCTCATTGAGTATGTTAAACGGAACCTGGATACCAAAGGATAGTTGAACTAATCCTAGAGCTTGTTTGTATATTAACTCTTGTTGTTCCTACTCAAGTGAGGGAGTTTTTCTAACTATAAATAGACTATTATCTGCTTCTTTTAGAACCTAGAGTTTTGATCATTAAACTTAATGATTTTGATCTTTCTATTTCAAATAACAAAATAGATTAAAGTTCAAATACTATTTGTGGGGATAATACTAGAACTTTTAATAAAAATTAAAATATTAAGAGAATAAACATAAAAATGTCAAACATGAGACACAAAATTTTGTAGTTTTCGTGAGATTCATCTATGTATATGACCACACAGAGATTAAACTTTTTACAAAGCCTCAAATGAGACAGGTAGAAAGAGATTATACTTCATAAAGATAAAGACATCACTTTATGTCTCAACTGTTAAAAAGGGAGACAGACACTTGTTATGAAGCTGAGGGTTGAATGTGGGAAAAAAAGTTGATGTTGCTTCTCCTTTTAATCCCTTCTCGAAAACATCCTCTCTTTGATGATGCCTCTTTTTCTTTCTGCTCTATTTATTTTTCCACTTTTCTCATTCTCCTATTTCTTTGCTTATGATTGTGTGACACTTTTCAAGCGAGTATTACTTGGATTTATATCTTGATGCATTCATCTTTTAACATTAATAGTCAACCACCATTAAATGAATTTCTTAGCCTCTAAAACAGACATTTGTTACAACCTCAATTAAAAATATTTATAGTAGCTTATGTTTATGATTTTATGGCGGTAGTCATTTAGAATTTTGTGGTTGCATTCATTTAGTACTTTGGGAGGTAGTCAATCTAACTCGACACAACATATGCAGGCTTTTATATCAAATCATTTATAATTTCTCATATTCATTAGCCTCCCTTCACCCCCCTTTCTCTCTCTAGAGGCTTCTATGTCAAACCAGATATAATTTCTTGTATTCATTCGCTTTCCCCTTCTCTCTCTCTCTTTCTCTCTCTCTCTCTCTCTCTCCACCTCACTTCCCCCAATGGTTGGAGCTCCTCTCTACACAAGTTCCCTGTTGATTATTTGCTGAGTAACATATACTCATTGGGTACTCGAATATGATTTTTTTTTCTGAAAACCTGTTTAATAAATACTTTTATGGTACTATCTTCACTTTATTAAAATTTTTTATTTAAATCTGGATAATTGTATTTGCTCAAAGGCTTTTGGGGACCAATGCAAGGCCACATGGTAGATTCAGCTCTAGACATTTGCAATATCTAGTTAAAGGTCACTTGGATTTTTGCACTCAAAGGACATGAACATATATTCCTATCTTTCATAAACAGACTATGAGATTTCTTCAAGTAAAGCAACAGTTGTAAAACGGGTCTATGGACTCTGAGGATTGATAGTTTGCCAAAGTTGTTAGCAATGCAAATTTATATACAACCATAGAGGTTTCAACTGATGAATGATTTCATTCCAGGAAATTGAACATGGAACCAAATCTTGCCCTCGAGAGGTATGATATATTCATTACTTATTCACACAAGGCTTTTCTAAGTTGGAGATTGAAAACATGTTTTTCTTTCCCCATAAGCATTAATCCTTCCATGGGTAAGGTATCTTGTGATGATTTATGCAATGTTTTGCTATTTTGTAATGGAGCCCTAAAACAGGCTTGAAATTTTTCTTGAAGGTGATAATACCTCGTGAAGCTATAAAGCTTTCAGCTTTGTCTACGGCAGTCATCTCCCACAGATCAGTTGATGGCCATGAATCAAAAATTGGATATGTGAGATTATCAACATTTTCCCAGGTACTGATTTTGAAGCTTCTCCTATAAAGTAGTATGCTTCATCCATCACACACGTTAACTAACATTTCACAGCAATTATTGTTGCATAAACACCACAGACTTGGCCACCATAATTGCATATCTCACTATTATAATTGCTACTACGAAAGAGCTGAACTGTTAGTGTTATTACAATCATCACATTCTAAAATGGCTAACATCAAACCTCTTTATTCCACATATAAATTGTGTGAATTATTAGCACTGAAAAAAAATTCAATTCTGAAAAGTGCCAAAAGAATCATGATTCAACATAAAGCTGCACAGCTCAATCAACTTGGTCCAAATTTTCTATATTGCCTATTTCTTTTAGGGTGTCACTTATAGTGTTGGGCTTTTGGAGGAAGGTGTAGTTGAGGCAAGGGCATAATTGCATTCTAGGTTTATTGAAGTGACACAACTCAATGAAAAGAATTAGACTAGTCATAAAAGCCCGGGGCAATAAGCTGTTGTCAAGCTAGGATCCAAGAGAGGTAGCAAAATGAAGAATTTTAAATGGATTATACATTCTTAAATGTTTTATGATTGTTGTGTAAGATGAGTGTTGTAAATTGCATATTTGGACATTTATAAAATTTCAAATCTAGAAATTTAAAATTTAAGTTTTGAAATGAAATTTGAAATTTTGACTATTTGATTTAGTTTTATTCAAATTTTCTTAAAATTAAATTGCATTCCTTTATTTTGATCACTCCAAAAATTTAAAATGTTGAGTTTAAATAATTCAAAACTTTTAAATTTGAAATTCCAATTTTTAAAATTTTATAAATGTTCAAATTTCCAAATTACAACAGTTGAATTTTTACAATTATAAGACATTTAAATATACATATTCTTAATAAAATTCTTTATTATGTTCTTTGTCATGAATCCTGGCTCTGTAACTGCTTCATTTTTGCTCTAGCCTTTGGTGGTTTTTCCTTATTAAGCTCCTTGTGTAACAACATTTCACCTAGTTCCCTAAAAAGTCTTCTTTGAAGATTTAAAATTAATGTAATCCTCTACAAGGTCTTGTGCAACTGTGCAAGCCTCTTCAACTCACCTTTTGTAAATCAAGTGACCCCAGTTGATGGTTTTTCTTTCCACCTCATAAAAACCTATGATTCTGATCATTATTTGTTAGCACTTTTTATGTGATTTACAGGGCTTCAAAACTGTTGGAATAGTTGAAAAGATATATCTAAAATAGTTTTAGAGCTTTTCACAAAGTATCAAAGGTTATATGAAGTTTTACTGTGGGTTTGAACAAGAATAGGGCAGGCTAGGGTAAGCTTTGGCTGAGAGTTTCAATGGAGCTTTTGAGTGGATTTTGTGGGAGAAATGTTGGGGAAATGGTATGGATGTGTGGAGAGGAGATTGCAAAATAGTTATACAACTAGAGATGGATAGGGTTTATAGTGATTTTATAAACTTACCACTCACTAATATGGCAAAGCTTGAAGGAATCAAAAACATTTTTAGTGGAATAAATTTTGAAATTGCATTGAACAACATCAAAGCCTTCTTCATTTTTAAAATAAAGTATTTAAAGACACTTGCTACAAGAGGGTGTGGGGATGACAGCAGCTAAAATGTTAGTTACCTCATGTGCAACCACTCCAGTTGAGTGGTGGCCGGCCAAGATGACATTGGAATTGAATTTTTGAGTTAGATTTAATTCAAATAATCATTTTCAATTAAAATTAAAAAGTATTATTGTTATAGGGCAAATTTCAAAAATTCAAGTTTTAAGTACCAAAGTTTTAAAGTTTTTATATGCTTACCACAACAACAAAGCCTTAATCCTACTACGTGGGGTCGGCTACATGAATCCTTTTTCTCCATTGCGTCCTATATAGTGTCATATTTTCATTTAGTTCTAGTAAATTAAGGTCTTTTTAATACAATAAGCCCAAGTCTTCCTATGTCTACCTCTGCCTTTCTTAACATAAGTCGAATCTAAAACATCTACTCTTTTAATCGGATCATCAGATGGTCGACGTTTAATGTGACCAAACCATCTAAGACGACTTTCTCTAATTTTGTCTGTCACAGGAGCTACACCAACCCTATCACAGATATATTCATTTC